TGAGAAAGTAGGATTACCTTTTGGAGGTTTCTCGCGAATTACAGGTAGACCTTCTGTTGAGATCTTTCCGTCCTCTTTCTCCTTCTTTTCCTTTTTTTGTTTTTTCTTCACCTGAAATCTACTTCAGTCTGGATATTTTCACTTCAATTCAAATCAACCACTATGCACGAGGAAGCTCGCCTTTTTTTCTTGACGACGCTTCTCCTTTTCTGCCATCTTCCGCTCCCAGTCTTTCGGCTTTACAATATCTTCTAATTCTCCTTCAACTGCTAAGTTTACTGTGTTTGTTTCAATAACTGAGGGCAAGTTCAGGGAAGATGATCCTAAAAAAGCTTTGTTCTTACATAGCTTACCGGGGAAAACTGAATAGACAACAATGTAGAAGGAACTAAACAAAAGTAAAAACCTTCAAAGACATCATCTGCAGCCAGGTGTGGTTCTTCGTGACCATTTGCCTTTGTAGAAATAGGTTTCGATGCAGTAACGAGGACGGACTGTAATAATAATATTGAATTAGTAATATAAGAAGTGAAAATTAGCAAATAACCACAAATATGCATATTTCTAAACCATCTGCTTCGAAAAAAAAACAAGTTTTGCTAGAACTAGAGAACCCATATCTGTTATGGAACGCACATATGCAATAGGGTGCAAATATTGCCCACGTAGTGACTTCCCAAGATAGTGATTCGTTTGAGGAGATGAAAAAAACGATCTTGTATGGATATTTGAAGGTCCTCCGCCATATGCAAGGATAGAAGATCGCGAAGGACGATCATAAACATACATATTGAAACTATTCCCATACATAATTATGAAAACAAATGCGCATAGTTAAGCTGTTTTTACAGAAGAACTGTGCTAAAAGAATGATTTTGACGTCATTATCTTGGATCAGAGTCGTACAATTGTAGCCGTCGTCAGCTGCAAGAGTATAAATGGCAGGAGAATTTCTTCCTTTGAGAGATACATAAAACGTAGTACTTCGTTATCCTTCGCCACTGTTGCGTTGCTCACCAGAATCTTTCTCAGGCAGCCACTACGAAGACAGATTGATTTGCGAGGGTATTAGCAGTATTGAGCAACCTCCCATAATAACATAATAAACCATCGACGTGATTCAATTTGCTTTGGAAGAGATCTAGGCTTCCAACTGGACCACGTCTTCACTCGTACCTATAGTTGCAATCGGCTGCGAGAGGAATCGCCCCCATGCACCAACACGAATTCGATTTGTGCTCGCAAATGTTGGTGGAACGCAAGTTTTGCTTCTCTTTACCTTTGTGAATACATGATTTTCTCATTCTGAAGTAGTACGAATCTGCTAATTTTTATTTCAGGAAATGCTGTATGGACTGTTGATAAAGGTCTCGAATCCGATTTTAGAGCCTCGCGCTACTGTCAAGTTTTAGCATTTATGAGCCTGGAATTCTTGTTTTTGCGGTAATACTGCAACGTCTTACATAGCAA